TTTATAAATTACCTGTTTGAACTAGAATTTTTAAATTAACATCGTTTGAAATTGATTTTTATCATTCATCACATCAAAAAATATTTTATTTGTTTAATAACATTCTCATAGTATTTACAATCTATGCATCATTTTTTTTGCAAATTTACACTCTGAGTCAATTAAAAACGACAACATTACATTGAACACTCTATTTGCACACCATCTTTGAGTCACGACTTCCAACGCTCCATCCTTCTTCCATTCCTGTTGTTGCTTCCTTTCCTTCTTCCTGTTGGTACTCCATTTACTTCTTGCTTTTGCTTCATTTGCTTTCCGTTTTCCTCTTCTGACCGTGCGACTTCTTCTTTCACGTGCCTTCTTATACTACTTATATCGTCCATATAAGTAGCACTCACCACAATACTTTTAACTAAATAAACAATTCATAAACGATTGGAAATACTGGTGAGATAGTTTTACAGTTCTCCTAATTTCATTTTTGTCATATTTAGATGAAATCATTTCTAACTATCCAGAAATCATCAAGTCCGGAGTCATTTGATATTCCAGTACGGCCCCAATAACTGTTCCCAAATCCCAAATATATATCAGAGCACAACACCGTTAGATGAAGTTATTTATGGGGTCGAGTACAGAAGAGATGAATGGAGGAATAAATGGAATAATAAGCTTTACAGATAATGCATGTTTATACAATTGGGTCGAATAGGAAACAACATTGAAGTATGTGACATTGACAGTTAGGACGACCATAATATTTATTGACTAGTAGGAATCGACCAATAGAATTAGACTTCCAAAAATAGTTTTCTTAGGATATTTGATGAATATCCTAACACATAATAATAACACTAGTGAGGTTACATTTCGACTGTTATCCCCATGTTTCTTTAAAGTAATCATTGCATCGATGAATACAGTCTGAAAAAAATGTATTCTGGTGTCAAGTTGAAGAAAATACCTTACATCAACTGTGATGTTGCGAAATATTGGAAAAAAAGCAACTGGGTTGAAATTACCAATGATCATTCATAAGTCTAACGAAAAGAGATACAGTGTTAGAAATTAATGCATACACTTGTCAGTAGGTTACGACTTTTGAAACAAAACTGTTTTAGATCAGGAGTGAATTATGAAGAATTAATCAAAACTAGAAAGCGGATTACATCTATGATTATATTTTAATCATAAAATTTATGTACTGTTGATAGTAAGAAGTTTTGGACAGAAACAACACAGAACTTCCTAGATAAGTACATTAGTTCAGCTTGCCATACCACATTAGCACAGAGATGCAACTGTCAGTTCAAATCCAATAGTGGTAGCGATAGTAGAAGTATGAGCAGTAATGTAGAAGATTAGGGTTCGAAGATATTATTCAAGAAGTATAATTCAGTGAGACAACTTTCGAAAGAGAAAGACAGAGATGATAAGGAATTCAGAAGATTAGAATTTGAGAGAACACAAAGAGTGAATGCACCTGCGCCACTGCAAACGATTCTGAGCTATGTCATTCAAGGTCTCTAACCATCAGTGATATACGTCTCACGGACCCCAAACAGGTAGTCTACATCCAGCAACATAACTCAGTCCACTTGTCAGTGATTTCATGGATTTGTGGCATGTTTTGGTTTGGCCGCCCCTAGCTTTCTTCCAACTTACTTCTACACCACAAAACATAGCTCGTCGAGGCAGTCGGTGGATGGGGATTTGCAACACATGTCCCAACGACCTCAAATGATGAAGTTTCAATACTTCGTCTATTGATTTGCCATCCCTACCTAGTACTCGTTTCCTAATGACAGCATTGCTCACTCGGTTGTCGTAGTGTTGTGATCGTCCCTAGATGTGCTTGAAACTATTAAGGCTTCACCTTGGTCGATAAACGAGAACGAGGCAATAAAAAAGAGTCCAGGTAGGCTTCTCTGATCTATTAACCACAAACAGCTAACGAAATGTCTTGATATATCGTAGAAAGTATATTCTACAAACACCCAGCAAGCACCATCATCTCAAGCACACAAATCGTGTTTATTTATACACCATACAAACGTCCTTGGGACAGTCACAAAAATAGCACACTAAAATACGCGGCAACTAATCACAGCCAA